AATAATTCTTGAAAAATGTACACATTTCCGGAAAATTTAAATCTCTAAGTGCTCACCTGGGGGAAATCCCGCTCGCCGCTCTGGTGCTTGAAGTGCAGGAAGTAGGTGCGGCCGCCCCTGGCGCCGCCCCGCGCCCTGGCCGCGTGCAGGTGGCCGACGCGCAGCAGCGGGGCCGTCGTCTGCCCGTCCGAGAGCACCTCCAGGGTGGCGTCCCGGACGCTGAGCGGGTTCTGCACGGGCCGCTCCCAGTCCGTGTACTCGTTCTTGAGCGTGGCGAAGATCTCGTTGAGGTGGTACATGTAGGCGTTGCGCACGTACGTGCGCAGGATGCGGTCGCGCCGCGTCTCGTTGAAGCCGAACTCGAGGTCCTGCGCCGACAGGTCCAGGTACGACTCGGTGGTCGTGAGGCCGAACAGGAGGTCCCGCGTGGGGAAGTCCGCGAGCTCGCCGCCGCCACCTGAGCAAAAACAACAACAAAAGGAGTCAATTCGCGCCTTACAGAGGTGTTTTTACAGGCTCTAAGAAAGACAGCTTTAGCCACTGGGAAAAACATCATTGCAAATTTACAACATACTTTGTATTTTTGATTATTTTGTAAATTCACAACAGCCCATTTATTCCAAGTCGTCACAGAGTGCTTGTAATTTCACAATTTGGAACAAAGTGGAATTTTACTACACATCATGTACCGGGTGTAACTGTGAATACGCAGCAGTGTTGCGGGTTTGCCTACTCTTTACACCCGTCAGGGGCCATGGCCCCTGCGGCCATATTGAGTATGCAATCCCGCAACACTGCTGCGTATTCACAGTTACAACTGGTAGCCCACAAGGTTTCCTCGGGTTTCTCACAGTGGCTGCGGTTAAACCAATTAGTAAAATACGGGGCAACGATAATTATCTAGCCACATGTTCCATAAAATCAGCTTTGTACCAACACGATCAATTTTCAGCACCTTGGGCAAACAAAACCAAAGTTTGCGACCCGTCATCGTGGTGACCCAACGTGTCGTTGGCGCGCGGGTGTGGGCGTACACCACTTCCCTTCGCAGCACACTCTAAATGTCAAGGACAATTTTTGTAACTAGCACCGGACTTCTGCGTGCATAACTGGAATCAGATACTATATTGTGACTTGCTAGTCACTAAATGTGTGTTGGTAGTTACAATATTGTATCTGAGCTAGTTATGCACACAGAAGTCCGGTGCTAGTTACAAAAATTGTCCTTAGACATTTAGAGTGCATGCACCCCACCACGACTTCTGACGGATTCGCTATACTCGCCGCAAAGTACCCCCCGCCAGTGCGTGGCCACACACAGTCGTCGCTCCACTGCTCAACTCCCCGCCCCCGCCCCCGCCCG